GCGCCTGTGGTCCCAGCTACTTGGGAGGCTGGGGCAGGAGACTCGCTTGAGCCCAGGAGTTGGAGGTTGCTGTGAGCTGTGAAGCCACAGCACTCTACCCAGGGGCATAGCTTGAGGCTCTGTCTCAAAAAAAAAAACAAGTAAAGATGTGGGAGAAGAGCATCTAAGCAGTGGAAATATCCAGTACAAAGGCTCTGTGGCAGGAACGAACTTTGGGGATTAGATGACCAGGAAGGAAGGCAGCGCTTGCGCCGGGAGCAGTGAAAAGGGCTAGAAAAGGGCTAGAGGTAGTCGTGGTTTTAGATTAAGGACCTGCCAGGGCTGAGGGTCAGATTAAGCCTGGGGTGTTCAAACGGGCAGGAGGCTGCCCAGGTGTGGTAATTTCCAGCTAAGAGGGCTAGTTTTACCTCAATTGTAAGAGGAGTGTAGGCCTCTGAGGCTCCCTCTGATTGCTGACATTTACCGCACTCCTCACGAGGGATGAGTAAGCAGAAGCCCAAAAAGTCTAAATCACTTTCCCAGGCCTTAAAAACTAAACAGAACTAAAAAGTGCAGCGTCCACATTTGAACCCTGGCAGTGCGGCCTTAAAGCTACTGCTCTTAGTCTTTTCATATTACACCCCCTTAACCCTAGCAGGTTCTGCAGCGTAGTGATCATGCGTCTGCCTCGGCGTCAAATCCACTTATAATCTGTAGCATCTTGGGTAAGTCACTTGCGTTTCCTGAGCCTGTTTCCCTATTTATACAATGTACACCCCAACATTCCCTTCAACTAACCCAACACTTGGCCCAGCAGGAGGAATGACGCGTGAATCCCTAACAACTGCAAGACTTTCTGTGGGGAGGGGGTGCGTTTTGGAGAAAAAGGGGCACGGAGTCCGAACGCAGAAGCTCCAGAGCCTTTCCTTGAGCTTTCTTGCCCAGTTTTCTCCATTTACCCGCGGAACAATTTTCCGTCTCCCACCACGTCCCCACTCCAATGGGCCCCCCCGCCCCCACTGCCCAAGTTTTTTCCCCTCGGGTTGAAAAGAGGTCGTGGTCCCTTTAAGGCCCGCCCCTCCCTCTCCCAAAACTTCCCAGTGTCTGCTCTTTTCGATCCGGGACGGCCGGCCAGGCTCACCGCCGAGCTGGTAGGGGCAAGGGGCGAGGGGACAGGGAGGGGCGCCTGGGGACTCGTGAGAGTCGCCGCCCGCTGCCGGGTACCGCGGTCTCATCCAAGGGGGTGGGGGAGGGGCGGAGGCCGTGAGTGCGGGGGAGCGGAGGACGCGGCCGGACGAGCGGCCTGGAACGTGCGGCGCCGAGGGCCGTTCGCTGCGTTCCGTCCGCGCGCCGGCGCGAGGGGCGTCCGGGCCGGGCGCGGGGGCGGGGAGGGGTGGGGCCCCTTCTCGCCCCCTCCCCCACCGCATTCCTCTGACGTCTGGCCCTCGCGACCCCGCCCTTCAGCGGCACCAGCCCCGCCCTCTTCCCGTCACGCGGATCACGTGTTTCGGACTCGGCACCGCCCGAATCTCTGGGCGGCTGGTGTTTTCGCATGGTAGCGGTGTGACTATCAGTTTATTGAGGTCCCCGTCAGGTTCCCCCCAACTTTATTTTCCAAAACCAGCAGGCCTATCTGGCATGGCCCACTCTTTTAGTCCTCTTTAACCCCTATTTCAAACTTAGTTTCCTTGGAGACGTCTCCGGATCCCCATTTCAGTAGAGTGAAAAATACCCCAGCACCTTCGGCGCATCCGCCACATTTTCCACGATGCTAGTTTCGCTAAGTGTAGTATTCCCACTCCCAGACAGGCGTCTCCAAAGCGTTAGACCCCTTAGGACAATCGGTAAGCACCTGTCTCCCCGCCCCCTTCCAGTGCAGCTTTATTGGAGCCTTGAGGCTTTCGCTGCAGGGCACTGCGGCCGGCCCTCACTTCCGAGGTCGGGCGGGATGGACCCAGACAACGACTCCCATCTGCCGGGCGCTCGCGCTTGTGCCAGGTGCTTGGTGGGCGTCACCCTTATTGAGGCCGACGCAGGGACCACCGCTTCCAAACAGGATTTCTGTGAGGATCCAGAGTGGTCAGCTGACGTGTGAATACCTCGGTCTGAGTTACGGGGTGGACAAACCTAGAGGTGTGCCATGGTTAGGACTTGAGAACCGAGGTTGTATGGACCATCAGAATTGACCCTTAAGTCATGCAGTAGTGTAGTGGAGAAAGTATTTTAGGCAGAAGCGTCTAGGCAGAGAAGGAAAGGCATGCGAAAGATCCTTCCCTTAATGGAAACCGAAAGGGAGTACAGTGGCTGAATTTAGAGGTGGAGTGGTTAAAGGATTTTGGCTAGCAGGGCAGGGTCCGAAGACTGTAGCAGCGAACTATTATATTGAGGAAAAGCGTCAGATTTGGGATATTCCGGGCATTGGGTAAGTCGGAGGTGAAGAGTAACAGTTTATAATGTGGACAGAGCTTCCCTGGAGGTTACTCTGTGGCGTAGTCTTTCATGGTTGCACAGATCAGGTACTCAAAACATTCTGGGTACTGCAGGCTGTCACTCCTTTGGAGGGTCACCCCGCTTCCGGAGGCGCCTGAAAGCATATTCTTGCGTTCGCCCCTGCCATCCTTTCTTAGACTGGTCCGAAGAGCACCCACGCGAGGTGGAGTTTCGTTTTTCACCCAATCAGAGACTGTCAGTCCTACCATCCTGTGAGAGGTTACGCTTGCCACTCTTCATTGACCAATCGGTGGAGACGCAGAGGATGGGCATTTGCAGTAACCACTGGAGAGGGACAAAAGGGACAGGTTTTCTAGTCTCCCTGCGAAGTGGCGCGGGAAGGTGGTCTTTGTGACTGGGGGGCACTAAAGGCTTTTGGTTTGACGGATTATCGAGAAAACCAATGAAAGTGGGAAGGAGGCGGGGCTTCTAGGCGGTTTGGCGCAACACCCCTATCAGATGCTTTTAGGGAGTTCAGCGGTACCAAAAATCTAACCTATCAAATTGGACTTTGTATTAAGGCGGTGGGGTCGACAAAATAACTGGCAGAAAACGCTCGCCTATAAAGAGTGTCCTAGACAAACGAAGGCGGGCACTCCTGCCAAACGTCGTAGGCAGCACCCAATAAGCTCTCAAGGCGTGCTAATCCTTCCCCTCCCCCCGCGGCGGGACCAGTGGCTCCCCCTATCGGGTGGGGGCGGCGAGTGACGGGCGTGTCCCTCCCCCAATGAGAGGCGGGGGGAGGCGGGTTCTGCGCCGCCATGTCGCGGAGGCTGCTGCCCCGGGCGGAGAAGCGGCGTCGGCGGCTGGAGCAGAGGCAGCAGCCGGACGAGCAGCGGAGGCGGTCGGGAGCGATGGTGAAGATGGCAGCAGCAGGCGGCGGAGGCGGCGGTGGCCGCTACTACGGCGGCGGCAGTGAGGGCGGCCGAGCCCCTAAGCGGCTCAAGACTGACAACGCTGGCGACCAGCACGGAGGCGGTGGCGGTGGCGGTGGCGGATCCGGGGCGGCGGGCGGCGGCGGAGGGGTGAGGCCAGGGCCCTAGGCGTCGGAATGCTGTGAGAGGGGACGAAATTTCCTATCTTTGGGATATTTCTTTTTTTGGGGGGGGGTCCTTTGCGCACGCGCTTACGCCCTCGCGCCGTTGGTTGAGTGGGGGAGGGGCAGTCGGGCAAACGGCGGGGTTTGCGCGAGGACAGGCGCCTGCGCGTGCGCGCAATCTGAAGCGGGCTGAAGGGGGAGCGGAGGAAGCGGCCAGCGCTGCGAGAGGCGCACTGCGCAGGCGCCGCGGGCTGCCGTGTGGGGGGCCGGGCCGCTTTTTTTTTTTTTTAATCATTTTCTTCGCTGGTTCCGTGCGCATGCGCACTTTCCCCGCCAGCTCTCGTGGGCGTTTGGGGCAGCGCTTCAGGAGCGGGAACCGGTGGGCGGTGGTTGGCCTTGTCCTCTCCTGGGCGAGCGACTCCGTACAACAACAGTTCGATCTCTTTAACGTCCACCACTGTACTCATGCAGAAATTAATTTACTTGAGAATATATACCCCTAAAATTGAATATATCCCCCATATTTGTGGGCACTGAAAATAGGAAGACAGGTTTATGAGGTAAGCTTATGGTTGTTTGGGAGATTTGAAGCCATCACAAGTTAGGTTAAAGTTTTCAGGGGTTAACTGGGTGCAAGAGTTTGATTGATAAAATTTTAGTCATTGGCCGTGTGGCCACGTGAGAAATCACCACTTGTTACTTTTGAGTTGGGGCTCAGTCTTTGCAACTCCCGACTTCTTCACATCATCTGGATCAGCCATCTTCCCGGCTTAATAGCTGTTATTTACTGGCAGGTTTGTTTTGTTGTTTTTTTTTTTTTTTTTTTTTGACCGAGTCTCACTTTGTTGCACTGAGTAGAGTGTCACGGCGTCACAGCTCACAGCAACCTCAAACGTTTGGGCTCGAGCAATTCTCTTGCTTCAGCCTCCCGAGTACCTGGGACTACAGCAGCCTGCCACAAGGCCCAAGCTATTTTTAGAGACAGGGTCTCGCTCTGGCTTAGGCTGGTCTCCAACCTGTGAGCTCAGGCAATCCACAGCCCCCTCCCCCCCTTGCTTCACAGAGCGCTAGGATTACAGGCATGAGCCGCGGTGCTCGGCATGTTTACTGGCAGTTTAAACTTAGTGTTCCACATGTTTTAAAGACATCTTAGTTGATTCCTTGCCCTCTCTCTTTTTTTTTTTTTCCTTTACCGCTTTTTGAGGTTGGGACACATTAGGATTTCTGAATTACAGAGGAGGGAACAGGCAAAGAGAAATGAAGTAAATTAGGTTAGGTCTTTTTGTTTGTTTGTTTTTTTGGCCGGGGCTGGATTTGAACCCACCACCTCTGGCATATAGGGCTGGTGCCCTACTCCTTTGAGCCACAGGCACTGCCCTTAGGTTAGGTCTTGTAGCTAGTCAGGGGCAGGGCTGGGAAGGAAACTCCAACCTTGGGCTGGTAACTAGGCTGGTGTTCCTCTTGTGGTTTGTGTGGTTCATTCCTGAATTAGAATCCAATTCCACCCCTGTTTCATTGGTTTCTGCCCAGTGATTCTCATGACTGGAGGCTGGGCCTGGAGCCCAGGAGAGGTGGAGGAGAAACTTTTTCTTGCAATTTCCAGAAAGATAACTTCTAGGAAAAAGCTACCATGGTTTCTAATGGTATGGTTTAGAGTTTCTCTTTTAAAAAGACATTCGTGGCTCGCCGCCCGTGGCGCAAGCGGCTAAGGCGCCAGCCACATACACCCAAGGTGGCGGGTTCGAATCCCCAGCCTGGGCCCGCCAAACAATGATGGCTGCAACCAATAAAAAAAATGGCCAGGCGTTGTGGCGGGCACCTGTGGTCCCAGCTACTTGGGAGGCTGAGGCAGGAGACTCGCTTGAGCCCAGGAGTTGGAGGTTGCTGTGAGCATGATGCCGTGGCACTCTACCCAGGGGGGATAGCTTGAGGCTCCATCTCAAATAAATAAATAAATAAATAAAATAAAAAGACATTCGTACACTGGTTTTTCCTTAATCTGGCTCATCCAGAGCAGGTTTTGATGCAGAATTGATGGAGTAGAGGGATAAAGACTGGCCTACCTGCCACAGCATGTGGGGTACATGCTGTTTTTCTCTGACTGAATATGGGGTGTGTGGTGGAGAACAGGCATGGTAGTAGCTCAACTAGTAAAGGAGCAGTGAACTTGGGATGTAAGCAAAGGGGATATCCTTGTTCTGAGTGCAGCAGACAACTGTTTGAGCCCTTCTTGCCATCTTTGGCCCTTTCCAAGCCCCTTTTTGATTGAGGAGACAAGTCCCTGGAGAAAAGTAAGATTTGAGATTTACATGATCTTTGCTCCATTCTGCCTTCAGAGGCTGCAGCATGAACTAGTGGGCAGTGCCCATCCACTCTGGGCTGTGGCTCTGTCTGGGACCATTGTGTGATTACCTTGAATTGCTGCTTCTGGTGTGACCTCTGCCATCTTACTGAGTGATGACCAGCTGTCTTATTTGACTGGATCTACAATGGCACAGGCCAGTGGGCTGCCATGTTGTACAGCAGGAAATGAAGCCATGTTTCTGCTTCCTTTCTTAGGAGAACTACGATGACCCGCACAAAACCCCTGCCTCCCCGGTTGTCCACATCAGGGGCCTGATTGACGGTGTGGTGGAAGCTGACCTTGTGGAGGCCTTGCAGGAGTTTGGACCCATCAGGTACTGGGCTTAGTCTAGGAGTTGGGCTTCCAAAGAACTTAACTCCTCGGTGTTCTTGTGTGTGAGTGTTTCTGGTTGAAAATAGTGATTTTGCAGGCTGTGCCTGTCACTCAGTGAGTAGGGTGGAGGGTTCAAACCCAGGCCTGGCCAAACTGCAAAAAAATAGCTGGACGTTCTGGCAGACACATGCCTCTGGTCCCAGCTCCTCTGGAGGCTGAGCCAAGCGAATTGCCTAAGCCCAAGAGCTGCAAGTTGCTGTGAGCTGTGACGCCACAGCACTCTACCAAGGGCAATAAAGTGAGACTTTGTCTCTAAAAAAAAGAAAATAGTGATTTTGCCATTCTGGTGCAGGGTTTTTTGTTTGTGTTTTTTTTTTTTTTTTTTGAGAAGGAGCCTCAAGCTATCCCCCTGGGTAGAGTGCCATGGCATCATGCTCACAGCAACCTCCAACTCCTGGGCTCAAGGGAGTCTCCTGCCT